CTATTCAAACCGATATGAAAAGATATATATATATATTTATTTTTTTTTAATGAAAAATGAATGTTGGCCTGCAACAAAAACAGAGAATGTTCTTTTTCTGGTACCGGTATTTTATTCTGCATCTTCACCGGGCATTCAAAGAACAATTAGTGTGAAATACCCTTAATATTTTGTTACATTGTCAATCATGCATCTTCTGCAGATGTGTGATGCATCATCTGTACAGAGAGATGTTAGCTCACCAACTGTCATCTTCACATTTCACGTACTGTATGTTTGGCCTTTTCTCTCTCTGTCTTTCATGTTCCTTGTTCTTACCCTGTTTTTTATTACTCAAGACTTACATCAGGGATTTGTTTCCTCCATCCACTACAGTCTCCCTAACTTAAGAGACACAATGAACCAATTTGCTAGTGAAAGTGGGAATACATTTTATTCTCTCCTTTACTTTCGCACCATCTACCATTTGCAGCAACTTTAAAACATTTTCTGAAAAGACCCTTTTTACTACTGGGGTCTGAGAAATTCATGATCATGTTATTTTACAGCACAAGGTTTTTGAGGGCCATTTTGTGAAAAAGGGGTGTTACAGTATGCAACAGTATATAACTACTCTCTCTTCCTGAGAGAGGATGACAAATTGAAGAACAGGATTGAAGACATCCAGGAACGGAGAGTATCAGTCCTAATGTGGTCAAAGGTCATCCCACAGGAGACGCAATTCATACCGTTTTCTTCTCGACTGTCCTCTGTCCTAGTCACCAGGAATGAGAGCTTATGAAGAAGGGAGGAGAGGAATAGATGAATGTGAGTGGATGATGGGGACTGTGTGATAAATGGCAGGGCTCCTTCCTCTCAACGTGTATGTACGTGCTTGAACGTGTTTGTTCGCTTCGGCTGCTGGCCAGCATGCACCGCGGAGAGGAGATGCATTGATGGACGAGGAGCATCCTTTGCCGTTTCAGCAGTGGAAGTGCTTAAAGCATCCAGGCCCCAGGGACAGGCCATGTCACCGACTCCCATTCTGGTGACTTATGGAGCTGCCATGACAAACACCCAAGGGCTCTTGTTGCGGGTTTGGTCTTGAGGAGGGGGCTGGGATATAAAAGACCACGTGACGCTCAAACCCAGACCTCTTAGACGGACAGAACCTCTCTGTTTTCAAGCAAAAACCACTTAGTGCAGCTAAATTTTCCTGTAAAGACTGTAAAAGCTTGTCGAATGATTTTGGGGAAATAATTCTGATGTATGAAAGTCTGTGCTGGAGAGGAGATTAATGAAGAGTAATGCAAAGTCACCTTGCAAATATTTAAAATAGTTTTCTCCTTATTTCTCTCAGGCTCTTTGGTCTCTGTTTTTGGTATTTCTTCCTCTCCATCACCTCTTTTAGCCTGCAGGAATACATGAAAGAGATTGTGATAAATGACTCTAAAGCACACAGTGTAAAAAGAGGGATTTCTTTTTTTTAATACACTGCTGCCTTTGTTTTCTGATTCTGGCTTTAGAGGTAAACATGGTTCTTTTGCTGCATTAAACATTAAGAGAGATATATTAGCAAGAGTTGTAGTTTGGTTCATCCATGTTAAAGTCTGATTTGGTCTGAAAAAAACGTATTGTATTGTCCTCTGTGAGTGCATAATATCACATATATTAGTGTTTTTTACTCGTGAAGTTCATTGGTGACAGAATATTCACATTGCGAGAATAAAGACTTTATGGATTCTGAGGCTGGTTAGAAGAAAGTATTTGCCACTTCAGTGCTCCCAGCATAGCCCCGTTCTTGGGATTGCACCAGTAATGGCACTTTTAGACTTAATTTACTGCCCAAACTAATAACCTGAAATGGAGAGTGTGATGAGAAAATCGCTCACATGCACACACCCACACACACTATCACATACACACACACACACGTACATGTTTGCCCATTCTCGCACATTTGCACATTGACAGTGCTGTGCCCTCAATCAGTTCTAATGCAATGAAATCAGTCATCCTGTTCATCTCTTTCCCTCAATCACTCGTACACACATATACGTTCCCCTGAAATCCACAGAGCTTTTCATGCAGCTCTTCTCACATATCTGCTTTTCTCATGTCTTATATTTCTTCCAAATCTTAATTAGGCTGCTCTGACAGCAGACAGTTTGACTTAGCAGGAAATGCCAAGGTACAAATAATAACATTAATGGTGGCTCATCTACTTTTGGACCGGCCAGTATTCCACTAAGCCAGCATCAGGGCCTTGGCACTGACACACCAAAAATCGAAGCAGTCAGTGTTGTGAGGGACACGTCTGTTGGATGGTAACAGTATCTATGCCTTTACCTCAGCCTATTACATTAAATTACTTGCCTGTTCACCTTCAGCTTTTACTTGAACCCCTTTAATGTCTTCAATGTTGATTAGAGATCAACTTCAGTGGCACGAGAGGAATTGGTCACAGACACAGGGGTAAAACAGTTACTTGCATGTCGTCATGGCCCCCTGCGACCATGCAACAGCACTGAATCCTCACTTCCAGCAGCTATTATGCTAATCAGACAGAGTCCTTGTGTATATGCTAATGTGGTTGTGATGGAGGGGAAGCTGTAATAAGGGGACCTTGGCTGGTCAAAATAAAGGCTATGGCACAGTGGAGCCTAAAAATGACAAGTCAGTCTGTCATCAGAGAATAGCACAGGCCTATAGCCAAGGAAATAAATCCCAAGTACTAACCAAGAACTTTGAAATATAAGTCAGCACAGCATCATTTAAGGAAGTCTTTGTTGTGTGAGCAGGTGTTCTACCTTCAGCAGATGATGGAAACACCTTCTGTCAAATCACTGATCAGGATGTAACTACAAGTGCAACAAGCAGCTGTTTAAGTGAGCCATTGCTGATTGTATCCCCTTTGAGCCTTTTTGAAGTTCCTTGCAAACACGTTCACACTTTTGCAAAGATTCACTGACACATTTTGAGTCTTTTTTTTTTTTTTAAGCTTTTGTTTATGCTGATAAAACGTTTTTGACTTCACACTTTGTGCTTGTGTAATATTCAGGTTATTCGGGTTAAAATCACTACATGTTTGATACATTTTTAATATAAAAATGATTTGAATAAGGGAATTAATGAATGAAAAAAAACTATTTTTTTATGGAGAGAATAAGTTCATTACCTTCATTACCCATTTCCTTACAAGAGTACTTGCTTTGTGTATTGGTGAGATGGCAGTAGATGGACTTTGTTTTCCACATCCCTGTCAACTTCAGATCTCTCTCAATCCTGTCTATTGAGACAGACACACACACACACACACACACACACACACACACACACACACACACACACACACACACACACACACACACACACACACACACACACACACACGCACACAAATTCAAAACCCAAAGAGTTCATGTTGATGTGTTGTGGGTGGAAAGAAGATACTGTTTACAATATATTAATTTGCCACTCTGTTAATACGTCTGCACTGCTGGGTAAAATTATGTATCTGTCCTTGGGGGCGCGCTGGTGGCGCAATGGTTAGGGCACGCATCCCATGTATTGAGACTCTCGCCTCAAGCGGTAGGCCCGGGCTCGCTTCCACCCGTGGCCCCTTTCCGCATGTCATTCCCCGCTCTCTCTCCCTGGTTTCCGACTCTACTCACTGTCCTCTCTCTGCATTAAAGGCACGAAAAGCCCAAAAATAATTCTTTAAAAAAATCTGTCCTTGATATACCTTAATCAATGGAAGTTTTAGAGTAACATGCTAGTAAAAAAAAAGATAATTAACAGTCTCAAGACAAGTAAAATAATAGTACTTTTTTAAACTCTTCTTGACAGCATTTTTGTGTTTGGCACGTTTAAATGACTATTGCATTACAATTGCCCAAGAAACATACACCTAACAAGTTACTTTACTTTTCATTTAGTCTTGTGCAGAGTATTTTAAGTGTATCTTTTTATCTCAATCAGATGAAAATATTTTGAATTTGAAACATTTTTAAACCTAAATTTGTAGATGGATTTATACAGAGATCTATTTTTTGTTCAGCTAAAGTGGCCTCATTGGAATTGAAACATTGTGTCAGAAATGATGATGCTTGGGACAGAAAAGCAAGTGTGCTTTTTGTGTGATGTTGAGGCACCAGAAAACTGTGTGGCTTTGAGATCAATTTTGTTCCCTATGGGCCAGTTCAGCCCAGCTCCTGTGGAGAGACTGAGTTTCATCCAAAGTCCAGCTCATGCTCTGGCCAGCTCCCCTGCTGTGTCGGAGTGTGTGACTGGATGAGACTGTGTTGGTGACTGAGACTGTAAGCTGGATGACCGTGTGCACACATGTTAGTGTGTGTCTGTGTGTCCGTCTATATGTGTGTTTGGTCATGCTAACCTTTTTCAAACTTGTGCGATGTATTGTTTGAGATGCAGCTATCAGAAGCATCTCAACGATACTTGTCTGTTTTGGAGCCAGTGTACTGCATGTTTAGCAGTTCTACATCGGTCATCAAGGGTAACAAAAGCTGCAATCATGCCTTTTATTACAATACTGGAACAAGAGACTCAGGAGCGAGAGATTGGCTGAACTTCCTTTGAACTTGATTTGCATAATAACACACAATTAGACAAGGTTCTGTCAATGCTGATCTCTCTTATTTGCATGCAAGAGCATGACCGGACAAGCCATGATGATAAAACAGCATCCATTAGTGACAAAGTGATTGCAATGATAGCATGAAATGCGAAAGGGCTAAAAATACAATTTTAATTTCTTGATTTTCTATTCACATCATGTTGTGTAGGTCATACTCTTGCAATACTCTTAATGGCTTTACAGGTTACCTTAACCTGTTCAGATATCAGCACTTTTCTAAAACCAGGAAAAGGGATTTCTATGTTTTTGAACTAAATCATAAGTCATTGCTTGGGTCAATTCTTGTGCTTTCCCCTCATTTTCTGCCCCTTTAACTGTACTAAGATGATGCATAATGTTCTTTCTCTCTCTCTCCTCTCTCCAGCTCTACCAAGCTACACATGTGGTAATCCTGGACAGCTGCTCAATGGCCACCAGCAGGGGTCCACGTTCAACATTGGGGACAAAATCCGCTACAGCTGCAGCCCGGGCTATGTGCTCGAGGGTCACACCACCCTGTCTTGCCTTGCCACTTCAGCGGGTACTGCTGCCTGGGATTTCCCCCTTCCCTACTGCAGAGGTATGTAGCATAGACAGTGGAAAGGCGTCTTTAAAATGTTTTTCTTTTACTCAAGGTAAACATTAAATGGCATCTAGTTTATTAGATCTTTAAAAAAAAAAAAAGAGTATAACCCCGAGGACTGACAGTCAGGATAGATATACAACGCAGAAAACTAAGTTTGATATCTATTTGCTATAGAATACCAATGATATTGAGGTTCTCAAATATCTTCAAACCCTTGCGGTTTTATTTTCTCATGTGATGCTTAATTTGTCTAGATTTCTGTCAATGACAAACCTGGTCAATGGACCTAAAATAGTCCTCCCACATTTTAAAAATGTGACTCCTACAACTCAGACATTAAATTCCATTTGATATTTTTAACGCACTGGCTCTCTGAAAACCTTTTTGTAAATTGTGAACAGTACACACACACACACACACACACTCACATTTGCATAAATTACTCATGCCCCTACATGACCTGACAAGCACTTCTGTGGTTACATTGATATCTTATTTACCATGACAGGACCTCATGTGTTAGCGCCCAGTCATGTTCTTGTGCCAGTTGTCCTTCTGTCACTGTTAGCAAGCCTCCCTGCGGCAGCGACACCTGCCAGTGTGCATTTTCTGACCTATCCTGACTCAATTTTGTCAAAAAAAAACTCACTGTAGACAAATGTGAGGCTGTTGTACAACCATTTTGATGGTTGGTATGAGAGGCAATTTAAGCCATAATGAATACGAGTCATAGTCAGTTTGCCTATCCCTTTTCATATCCATTTGCACTGCCTGTGTGTGTGTGTCCATGTGGCCAATGGTTTGTGTCACTGTTCCTACTGAGCAGGACACTGAGACACTGTGCCATCTGTAACCAGGCCGGGAGTCAGGATGCCCACATAGGAGCACACATGGCTGGGCACCAGACGCCAGCACTGCCCATACCGACCTAGTCACATGCAGACTCATGCACATGCCTGTACTCCTCATCTTGTGTAGAAATGATTGAATATGCGTCTTCCAATCTCTCTTTCTGAGTTTGTAACAGTTTATGTAAGTGTCATCCCCTTTTCCCTCATTCTCTGCAGAGGGAGTCTCTCTTTCATTCCCCTCCTCCATGCACGCCCAGCTCCTGAAAAATTGCTCAAGCACTAAAGGATGTGATTATCCTACCTTTTCAGCAGAAATTACACGCCAACAAGTTTTAGAAACTAGCAATTTCCCCTATGAATTAATTGAGGTCTCCTAGTGCCACATAAAAGTCAACCTGTACACCTGAGTGCTCTTTCACAAGTATTGTTAGTCACTCCAATTACAGAGGCTGGCCAAATGTGTAAAAGCAGAACTGTAGCTGTACTGTGAGAGTGGGGGAGAACATTTTGGCACGGTCACTGGACTCAGGAGAGGGCAAATGTGCCAGCACTGTTGGGACATATGATAGCCAGCCATTGATGGCGCAAATACTGTTTTACATTCCCTGTCTTATGCTCATCAATTTGTTCTCCAGCCATTATCGCCTGGGGATACTTCATTTACCATCACTCTTCTATTCAGTTTGTGACCAAGTCTCTCCATACCTAAACCCGTTCACAGTCTCCACCATCCATTTTTCTCTGCTCTTTTACAACTCTCCTTTTGTAGCTCATGAAATAATGTTAACTTCTGAAAAAGTATACATATCAATGCACACAGTTCTATTCATCTTTAGTGTGTGCATATCACATTTAAAATGGCCATGCCACATTTAGTTGTCCTATACAAAATCCCAAATATTTGTAGCTTTACTGTTGCCACATTTTTTTTGTATATGCATGTATTCTTAGTTTATGTTGAACTTGGACATACTTGTAGCTTTCATGCATTTCCCATTTTTCATTACCATGTCACTCTAGATTTAATGGATGATCATGACAGCCTAAGTGACAGCCCATGCAAATATGTACATTTCAACCATGGGAAGCATCTTGACATCTACAATTGACTGATGGTCAAAATGTGACAAGCTTCTGCACATCTCACAAATATCAAGCTGTGTCTGTTATTGTATACTGCTTTGCCTCTGCCAGTAGCAGCCACAAAATTGCTGGAGCTATGGAGAGAGTCAAGGTGAAGGGGAGAGTTTAGAGCCAGAGACTTCCCTTCAAGTGTGAAGAAATCGTCTTGTGTGGAATATCAATGCACTTCCTCATCCTTTCTTCTGTCTGCTGTCTACTTCCTGTCACTCCCACCTGTCACCCCTGTTGCCATCTCTCTCTTTCTTTATTGTCCACCCTCCCTCTGCACTTTCTCCCTCCCATCCTCACTTGTCACCTGTCATCCTCCTCATCTCCTTCTTCTCGCCCTTCTGTCGTGGTTTCCCTCCTATTCAAGTTCACACCTCACAAGTTCCCGCTCGTCCGTACACTACCTTGCCCTCCCTTGGGGGGGGGTTGCAGTGGTGACAGGTAGGATGGATGATAGACAGGGCCTGGTGCCTCTGAGCTCCTCCACCCTTTCTTTGATACACACATTTAGCAGGCGGCACACTAATGAATCCCACACCTCCCTGACACAGACGAGCACACATGAACACACAAAATATCATGAAGAATAATAGAGTGGATGTGTCATACGTTCCCTCATTTTCTAAGTATGTGCTGCCGAGATGTACACACAACATTTTAAAGTCTGTATTTTAACACAGGAATTGCAGTTGGTTATATCACATGATGCTGTATTTTTTATTTTAGCTATAATGAACATATCAGACGCTAGGCAGGGGAATTATCCTGGCAACACATGAAATGCATGCTTTGTTTTTTAATGGTCTCCTTAAAGCAGTGTTGAGGAGGGAAGAGATGCTTTGATTAACACAATTCTGAATTAATCTAAATTTAATCATCCCCCTCGCCCTACAATATGTTGCTCTAGGTTGCATCACACACTCCACCCTGCTCTACACTGTCTGTAACAGTACTGTGGGGGGGGATTCACAATGATATGAGTAATGTCTCGCTGGCCTGTAGGGGAAATAGAAGACAGAGGAACAATATGTTTTAACTCGTATCATATTTTCATGAATTTGGAAATATGCCCTTTGGCCCGTGGCAGGAACGTAATTTAAGACCAAAAAAGCAAAACATAAAACAAATATGTTTATATATTTATGCCACAAAGCACAAAAGGTTCCTGGCAACACTTTCCACTAAGTTAAGCCTGTAAGGTGTTGTCAGGAACTTTTTCATAGGCCTGATACCCTCCCCCTTTTTTTATTGATTCCACACCTTCCTATAACGCTGTTTAAAATGAACCTTTTTAGCTCCTGCTTAAGAGTAGACAATAGGGACTTTGGGGATGTAAGTGCATAGCGATAGGTCCATAGATCAGTGTACGTTGATTGTTCAAACACAAGAGCCAGTTCAGTACTACCGACCACCATTTTTAAATCCCAACTGAAAACGTTAGCAAATAATAGTAAATACAAGTTGGTATAATTTCCTAAAACCATTCAAATAGAAATAAAAGTCAGGGATTGTTGAGTGTTAATGCGGTGGAGATAATACATTGCAATTTTCACTTGTCAAAGCAGATCATACAAGTAATTTACATTTTAATTTTTTATTCTTAAAAAAATCTCACACAACAAACACTCACTCACCATGGCGTCCTGCATATTTTTTGTTGTGTCTCGCATGTGGCGTCGCTCCAGCAGCTGTTGGCCGGCTTATGTCACTTTAGGATTCTTATCAGTCATCACTATGGTGGTGTGAATGTAGACAGAAAACAGTCCCCATGGTGTGAAGGTCTCAGGGAACTCTCTCGTTGATAGTTCCTCTCTAAAGGTCCCCAGAAATGTTGGGTCTGAAACACTTTATATGACACTTTGGAAGATGTTTCTTGCTAAATCATGACGTCTATCTCATGGTGATTATCAGTCAGTCATCAGCATCCCTGTCACCATAATCTGTTTTCCAAGCAGTTTAGCATCTAGATAATAATTTGGTTTAATTGATAGCTGTAATAAGGTCTTCTTTTTTATGCAGTAAGGTAATGACAAATATGTTCATTCCAATCAACTGTTTTTTCTTTCTCTTGAAATTCTATAATTTCTCTCCCCATGTTTCCATAATGTTTATACACTTTTAGTTATCTCTGCACTGCACCTTTATGACTACCTTTTTCTATTTTACATTTTCTACTTAGCTTTTGAAAACCTTCTCTTTTCTTTGCTCCCTGCAGCAGATGATGGGTGTGGTGGAACACTGCGGGGCCAGAGTGGAGTCATCACAACTCCCAATTACCCAGCTGAGTACAACAACAACGCCGACTGCACCTGGACTGTGCTCGCCGAGCCAGGAGATACCATTGCCCTGGTTTTCTCTGACTTTCAGCTGGAGGATGACTACGACCTACTGGAGGTCAGCGGCACTGAGGGCTCTTCACAGTGGTGAGTACTCAGCCTGCAGCGTTTTGTCTGGAGAGCAAGCTTAGCTAAGGCAGGCAGGGAAGAGGAGTCCGCTGGTGCACCACCTGCCCACAGGCACTTTAGCACATGAAGGAAAGAGCTGGATGAAGTATGGATGGGAGTGGTTAGGTGTCCGGTAGGGCCAGTGGAGTTGGATGCTTGATATGTCTCTGGAGGAAGGCAGAGGAACCAGCATGTATCAAAACATAAGGGTTATCAAATAATGACTGCTATTTGAAGTATCTTTGAAAAATTGAAGTGTAAAATGCTGGCGAAAACGGTTTATATTTTAGATTTGGTTCATTGATTTTTTTTTCCTTTGAAGGAGTATCACTTGGTCTGTGGTTTAAATCGGAAATTTGATCACTCAATCTTGGTCACATATACTCTCCCGTTCTATCAATAACTCAGTCTCACACTAACACACGCTCAGCTCTAATGATGAAGAGGTAGGATATCCTGGTGTCAGTGTGGGTCTCTCACCATCTGTGGCAGCTCCTCCTCTCTCTGACAACTCTCTCAACTCAGGAAGTAATTAGTGGGCTTGATTACCACCACCAGTATAGCGATGTTTCACCCACGCTCGCATGCACTCAAACACACATTCACAGTTGAGCCCATATGGGCACAAATGAACATGTGCTTCACACTTTCAGCCACACTTACATTTATTTATGCTAAAGAACCTGTAAAAACAGTACCCTTTGTACTGTTGTACACCAGAGAGGTCACAGCTTTTTATTTTTCTATAAATGAAATAGAAAATGGTGGTTCAGTTTGAGGATCATGAAAGAGATGGACAGAACTGATAAACAGGAGAATCCAGGGGAAATTTGAAGATACAGCCACATTTAGTTGGCAGAAAAGAAGGGACAAGGCTGGGGTAGCACTGGCTCAGCTTTTGGATACCTTAGGCATAGATAGAGAAGGAGACGAGCAGAAGACAGCTGAAAGAAGAAACATGTTCATGAAGAATGTATGCAAAGTCGTCATGGTGTGTGTAATGGCCCCAGATTTGTTTGTCATCTCAACCCATTCATTCCAGAGTTTGCTAAACAAATGTCAACAAGATTTTGATTGACTGTGACCAGTTTTAAAACTGTAGCTTGATATTAAAGTCTCTTCGAATTTCTGCTTTCCCAACTACGTTGATCGCTTCCCAGACTGCCACAGGCGGAAGCCTGACTATGCACCTCAAGCACATTCTACAATTTGTCATCAGCTTCTTGTCCTAGACTTTGATTTGCACTTTGTTGTCATGTGGGACACTTAAATCTCTACTGAGTCTGTCGTCTTTGTAGCAATTGTTGCCTGGGGCACCTACGTTGGTGCACCTGAGGCATGGCTGAACTGTCTTAGAGAACAAGTGAGAACAGTGCAAAATAAGTGCCTAGAAAAAAAGGGAAAAGGGCCATTGGCAGGCAATGCAGAGTGAAAGTCACAGTTGATCATGCACATTGCAAGGAAAGGCAGTGCAGGGGACGGAGGACACATTGCAGACATGCTGTCTCGCCTCGTTTGTTATTATTTTATTCTGGTCATGCTGGCTTGTGTTACTGACAAAGTGTTGACTTTAAAAGTGCTTGCTGTTTTTCTCCAAAGCGCAACAGCTGACCAGCCCTTTTTCAACACAATAACTTGATCTCTGAGGTCTCTAAGTAGTTGGGTATCCATAATTTTAGGGCTAGCAGGGAGGAGAAAGGACAGACAAGGGGAGTGACAGGGTCAAACAGTAAGAACCAGCAGACACCAAAGGAGAGCAGTGGAAAGGAGGGCAGGACCTTTGGAGGAGAGGATGCATGTGGAAGTGAAGAACTAGATGGATGGCTGGAGGGAACCTGACCTCCCAGCTGGTGGATAATTAGAGGGGTCAGGCAGAGCACTATAATGGTGCTGACCTAAAGCACACATCCTCTCAGTGCATGGCTCAGTGAGCCCTCTACTCAGTAGGGCTAGAAGTCTGTGCTGTCTCTTTCTCTTTCACAGTATTGGATAATTGGACTATAATGTAATATAATTAGAGTTTTTTATTAAAGAGATAAGTTATGGCAAGGTTAAAAAGTGCTGTTTCCCATTTTCAGGTTTGCTGTCAATATTGAGTTAGTATTAACAATAGGGAAAGGCTGTGGAAAAAGGCAACTGAATACAACGTCAACTTTGTATTAACCTAAAGGGACTTCTTCAATATTGCTTTGCCCAGGGAAAATCATTACTCACCCATTGTCTGTTTGCATCCTGATTGATTTTCCTCTCAACCAATATCCATTTAAAGGCAATGTAAATAATTCCTGGTACTCGTCAATTGTAAGACGCTCATGCACCCGCTTGCTACTGAGTGGCTCTGACAGTTATTTGACTTGTGATATTCTTTGGTCTTCCAATTGTTTCGCGTAGCACCCAGATGCATTCTCATCAGTGAGGAGTGCGCTCTTGTGATCGTGGAAGCAACTCTTGCAGCTATATGCTACTCGCTGTATTGTTTTAAATAAGCACCCGAATCGTCTGTCTGTGTTTTGGCCACAGTCCCTTAGTTCTATCAAAAGATTGCATTATTCAGAAATATTGCTCCATCACAATTCAGTGATTGCACCATTTTTCAGTGTTCCAAACATAAGTCCTTATTTTGTGTTCTGATAACTTTTGCAAACTCCCTGTCCCATGAGGGTTATCTTTCTTCTTGTCTTTTTCATATATCTTGCTGACAACACAAAGCTCCCTATATGCAACTTATGTCTTGCTGTTTAGAGATCTGATAGCCCGATTAGATTTGATCCCTCTAGGATTCCTCTCATCCTCCCGTTCTCTCTCGTCTCTTTAACCCCTTACCCCATGGACAAGAGACACTGATATTTACCAAGCACATGGATTATCTCAGCACTCCTAAAATGTGTCATCTTGTCCAGACCTGAGGGGTGAGATGGAAAGAGATAAAGAGTTGTTGGAAGAGTGCAGAACACTGGATATATATCGATTGACTCTTAGGTTGACTCACCAGAGACTGAGTGAACGGTATCCCAAACAGCTTTTTAAGTCCAGGGGTTGTTTTCTCTTGTTTCTGATGGGAGTTACAAACTCTTGAGTGCGTTTCATTGTTGTGGAGATGAATGCCTCATCTTCTGTTTATGTTATCAAATAGATCTGTGAAGTTTTTTTTTCCATGTTGGGGCTCAGAAGTTATAAGTTTGAGTTTAGTGCCTCCTCAGATTCAATTCTAATTACCTTAGATGGTCTATTGTTGGAGCTGTGTTCATTTGTGTGCATATTTATACTTTTGTATAAATAATGTAGTTGTATGTAGGAAGTTTTGAATAACGAGTATTGGCAGCTCATGCAGGGGTGCTTTGCTTATTTCTTGCTTTTATAAATGGCTGCTGTGTGATGGTGGAGTGGGCGTGTGTGAACACTGAATACATATTTTTATCTTTATCACATGTAGCAGACTGTTTCTGGCAGCTCCGTGTAATGGAATACGTTTTTGCTTTGCAGCTTTACTGGTAACTCATCACGTCACTCATTACACTAGTCACCTTAAGGATGGTCTGTCTCTTTGGTTTTTCACCCTCTGGCCTTTTCTCTTTCTGCCTTTCTCTCTCTATTCCATAAGTTGTGCTCCAATCCTAAAACCCACAAACAAATCATCTCAAATACAAGTAAACTATGTTATTGTGTTAAGTGAAGTTTTCCCAGATTCAAGATTGTGAGTCACAGCCAAAGTTATGTCCATGGCAGAAGACTTGATTTGTGCATTCACAAACACTGAAGTTAGCTTGTTTGTTGCAAAATAACTACACAACTTTACTTCTATCTAAACTTTGCAATGGAGGAGGCTCATACGACTGATGTGAGGGATGGTAATGAAGCACTGACGCGCGTCAAGGAGCCATCACGTCAAAGACGGTAACCAAAAAAATAAAAGTCCCCCCTATCATTCTGAGAGGGGGTTTATATAGCTGTCGCATCTATCACATCCTCTTATCTTGCTGGATCTAGAGCTGTCTCCTCTCTGTTTCTTTCGGTCTTACATGTCCTGTCTTTGTCTGCCTAGGCCCTATATACTCTTCTACCACTTTACCTTTGAGTGTTAGCCAGCCTGCAGGTGACTTCAGACCTGTTGGCTTTTCTGTTGGATGGATATAATGTATATACACATTTTATGTAGCTACATACTGTATAGTGTGTAAAACTAAATACTGACTGATTCATCTGAATACTTGATTGAGAAAAACCTTTTAGTTGCTTGTCCAGGTCTACCAAATTTAGTTTGACTTTGCCCAATAGTTATCAAAACACTCAGCTCTGCTGCTTTTTAAGGCCTGCTTTCCCATTCTTCACTCACTTCTTTGTTTTTGCAGTGTCAGCTTTATATACCTGAAGCCATAGTTTGGCTTATCAGCCTGTGCCCAACCAGTGGATCAATAGCTGTCTTAGTCAGTCTCTCCACCATGGCCCCTTAAATTGTGTTTGTTTGAGTCAGGATTTATTAACAGCAGCACTTGGTTGAGCGCTCAATCTGCAATGTGCCATCGATCAAAACTTCAGTTATGATGAACCTTTGTGCCACCCTACAAGAAATACTCCAGCTGAGCATTATCTCCAACACCTGGTGCCTGCTGCAGATTGGCTCACCCCAGCAACTCCACACTTTGTTACTCCAGCTGTCACATTGCTCAAGCTAAGAGCCGGAGAGGAGGAGGGACATGGAGTGTACAGAGCAAGGTTAGAGAAAAAGGGCCCAAGCTCACCAATGTGTTCTATCAACCTTTTAAGCCAGTAGTGTTTTTACTCAAGGTGATAATTACATGTCATTAACTGATCGTCTGTCTTGTGTTAATAAACAGCAGCTGCAGCAGTTTACTGGGCATTATTTAGTCTAAGCTACAAAAGAGTCCCCCAGAGGCGAGCAGTGTGCAAGTAAGCAAGTCTAGTCATGTGTTAACCCCCCACACCCCCTAAACCCAGTGAGAGCGGAGTACATGTAGAGG